ATATCGACAGCAATCCTAGAGACCCAATATTGCATGCCATGTCGTTGTGACGTCAAGCCCTGGCCATCCCATGTCTATTCATTCTTTAAGTGAGGGGGATAGTGGGTTCTTCTGCAGGTAGTTCAGGCATGAGGTTGAAATCCTGGCCTGTTGCTACTCTAAAAGGGGTGAAACCAGTGCTTGAGTGCACAGCATTATTGAAGGCCACTTCTGCAAAAGGTAAAAGATCAGTCCAGTTATCCTGTTGAAAATTAATAAAACATCTTAGATATTGTTCTAGGACTGAGTTCAATTTTTCAGTTTGCCCATTAGTCTTTCTGGATATACCATATTAGTCTAAGTGAGTGTGGTGTTACAAGCTCAATCCTTGGGTGGTGCCAAGTAAAGTTAAAAATGCCCTCCCAAATTTTGAGGTGAATTGAACCCTGCTGTTGGAGATGATTCTCTGCAGGGCTCCATGAAGGCGATAAATGTGTATCAGGAATAACTTGACTAGACGTTTGGCAGTTGGGATCATTTGGCAAGGTATAAAATGTGCCTGTTTTGAAAACAGGTCTGTTACGACCCAAATGACAGTATTCCCTGCACTTTCTGGTAGTTCAACAATAAAGTGCATAGCAACCTCTTTCCAGGGTGCGGAAGTTTCAGCTACCTTCTGTAATAGACCTGGGATTTTCCCTTGGTGTCCTTTAACTACATAGCTCTCTATGTCCTTTTTTAGTGAGGGCCACCAAAATTGCCTTTTAATTAGGTGTAACATTTTCACAAAACCAAAGTGTCCAGCTAATTTGGAGTCGTGGCACCTTGCCATTAAGCACAGTCTTTGGCTAGCTGGAACATACAATTTCCCTCGTACCCAAGCTAAGTTATCTTTCATCAGGCAGCTGGATTTGTGACTCAAAAACTATTCATTGGTGACTAAAGCTTGTTTAAAAGTTTGGGTGGTGTCATTGTCTGTCAAAATTTGTTGTTTTGCTTGGGATCTGGTGGTTACTTTAGCGGTTAGTTGATTGTTTTGTATCATGGGTTTGATTACATCTGGCTTCATGCTATTGTATTACGGTTTTCTGGATAACGCATCTGGCAGAAAATTCCCCCCCCCCCTGGGAGATATATGAGCGTAAATTCAAACTGTTTAAAGTACTGAGCCCATCATACTTGTTTTGGGGAGAGTTTCCTTGGGGTCTTTAGGGCTTCTACATTTTTATGATCCATCCAGACTTCAAAAGGGATCTTACTTCCCTCTAGGAAATGCCTCCAGGTTAAAAGAGCCTCAGTCAGACATAAGCCTCTCCCAAATGGCCCATCTTTTCTCAGATTCATTCAATTTTTTGGATGTGTAAGCACATGGTTGTAATTGGTCTTGCTCATTTTTCTGAACCAAGACCGCTCCTATCTTCACATCGCTGGTATCTGCTTGTATGACAAATGGTTTCCCTATGTCTGGGTGCTTTAGAATTAGCTCTGCTGAAAACAGCCGTTTTAAGTTTTTCAAATGCAGTTTGGCATTCCATTATCCAGTTCAAAGGCTGCTTTGGTTTTGGGTTACCCTTCCCCTTTGTTTTTAAAGCCTGGTGATGGGGAGAGCAATCTGGGCAAAAGCGGGAATAAACTGGTGGTAAAAGTTGGCGAATCCCAGAAGCTTTGTAACTGTTTATGTGTTCTGGGTGGTTCCCAATCAATTACCACCTGCCCTTTTAAAGGATCCATTTCTATGCCCTGGTGTGAAATGCGGTATCCTAAGTAATCAATTTTTTCTTGATGGAATTCACATTTAGAGAGTTTAGCATAAACTTTGGCAGAGTAGAGTTTGTTCAGAACAACCTGGACTAGTTTTACATGTTCTGCTTTGGTCTCAGAATATAGCAAAATGTCATCTAAGTATACCAAACAGCACTTATATAAATGCTCATGTAGCACTTCGTAATTGCATAAATACTGTAGGGACCCCCTGTAGCCCAAATGGGAGCACTTTGAATTGATAGCATCCAAGAGGGGTGTTAAATGCTGTTTTCCATTTGTCTCCCTCTTTAATTCTGATACAGTAGTAAGCCTCTCTTAAATCCAGCTTTGAATTTTTTTTCCCTTTAGCAAGGTGTGTTAGCATGTCTTTAATGAGGGGGAGTGGGGTACATGTTCTCCACACTGATCATATTTAACTTCCTAAAATCTACACAGAGACACTAAGAGCCATCTTTTTTTCTCTCTAAATAACACTGGGGCTGCGATTTTTGGTCAGGCTGGCTCAATGAAACCCCTTGCTAGGTTTTTCTCAATGAATGTCCTTAGTTCTTCCAGCTCCCTCAGAGACATATTATACATCTTGGGTTTAGGGAGTCTGGCACTGGATAGGATTTCTATCGCATAGCCAGTGTAGTGTGTCTGTGGGGGGAGAGCTCGTCAGAGGCTTTTTTGCTAAAAACCTCAGCCAAGTATTTGTATTTAGGTATTCCCTGGGTTGGCATAGTGTAAGTGGGCATTGCTGTTTCTTGGTGCTCTGCCCCCTCAGTTTCTTTGTGTGGATTCTCAGCAAAAGTCACGTGCATCTGAACTCTTATGGTGCTTTGTTTCCAATTAATTTTGGGGTTCTGTTTTTTCAGCCATGCAAGACCCAAAACTAGTGGCCATTCCATGCCACTATAAATGTAAATATTTCCTTGTGGCTTCCAATACCTATTTGTAGAGGCTCAGTGGCAAGTGCCCACCCCCCTGCTATTGACCCACCTAGTTGGCAAAAATCTGTGGGGCTTTTCAGCTTCCTTACATTAATCCTCAACTTTCTTACCAGGGTTGAGCTGGTCAAACAGCAGGTGCATCCTGAGTCCACTAAAGCAGAGATTTTTATTCCCCTCTCCCAGTTGGGGATAGTCTTAGGGGGAGGGAAAGCAATTTAATTGGTTTGCTTACCAGTGGTTCATCTTTTGGATCACTTCCGGATGAATATGGTTGCTCCTGCTGAGTAGCCGAGGTTTCCTCTTCAAAGAGGGCAGGCAGTGGAGATTCTACCATCTCCCTGCTGCTCAGGGCCGTCTCCTTCCCACGCTGGCCAGGTTTTGTAGGTTTTCCCTCTAACGGACGCTCTGATTTCCTAGCTGGTTCTTGAGAACGGTATTCTGCAGCTCGGTTGAAGTTTTCGGAGAAGATGCTGTTTGCAGATTGAAAGGGTCTTGCTTCCATTGGGTTGGGCATTTCTTCCACATTCGCTCGATACTGGTTCCTGGCCATGTTGATCTCTGCTTCTTCTGCAGTGAGATACCACTCATGTAGATGGTTCAGTGCACCTCGGGCCACCCAGGCATTGTAGAGGTCATCATTCAGCCCATTCTTAAACCAGCTTACCAGGATATCTTCTGGCCAGTTCACATGACACGCCAGGTCTTGGAATTCTTTGGTATACTCTGTCACTGGCCGGCATCCCTGCTTCACAACTTTAATGCAGTCACATGTTTTGTGATATGGAGGGGGGTCCTCGAAACGTCATAGCAGGGCCATCATGAAACGGTCAAAGTCCCGCAGTTCTGGTGCATCAACATCATGTAGGGTCACCATCCATTTGGCAGCGGCTCCTTCCAGGGCTAGGGTAACCACTCGCACTCAGCATCCTTGGGTTTGAAAATCACACCCATATTCTTTCATGTAGGTGAGCAAATGTGCCACAAAGAATCCCAATTTTGGGGGGTTCACATCAAACTTCACCCCAAGAGAAGGAGTTTTTCTTTGTAATTGCAGGTTTCAGGGTTGGTTGGGAGCAGCCCCCAATCCATGTACCAACTGAGGGGGAGGGTTTGCTGTGTTTTTTGCTGTTGCTGCTATGCTATCTGCTTGATCCCCAGAGTGGGGTAGCCACCTCCCTGCATCATCTGCAGCTGCCGCCCTTCCAATGCCTTTTAGTTGCTATTCTGGCTCCTCCCGGATGTTGAGATTTTCCAAAATCTCCATTACCAACTGGGTTACATGTCTCTTCAGAGGATCCTGTATCAGTGAGTCTTCATTTAGCTCCTCCTGGTCAGATGGGGCTTCTAGCTCCAATTTCCACCCCGGTTTTCAGTTACCACGGGTGAGAGTGACTCCTCTGGTCCTCTCATTTCAGCCTTCTTTCATGCCGATGACAAATGACCAATGGGGCTTTTTGGGGTCCTCCAGGTTCACCTCTCCTACAGTGTACATGGAGCAGGTCTCCGGTTGGAAGGGGTTGATGTCTCCCTCCAGCATTTAGCTTCCCCTTGTTCGCTGTTGTGCTCGGACATGATTTGCAAGGTCCCCTCAGTAGAGCAAATGTTGCTTCTCTGGGTTGACCGTTTTGCAGAGATGTTACTTTATATAAGGGCTCCTCTCCTAACTTAAGAAATTGAAAAGTTTTTATTAAGAAGAATGGAAGCCACTAAAGTCAAAGCAACATCTGAATCTTCTTAGGCAATGCAAGTAGAATTAAAGCAGTAGAGACCCCATCCCATTTGTTAGAATGCGGATTCTAGCCAATACACAGGTGTGAAGATGTTTCCTTTATCAACTGCCCTGAGAGCCGAATAAACATAAATTCCCATGGCTATCTTCTGTTACACAGTAAAGTGCAGCATTCCAGATGGCCATCATAAATGTTCCCCCAAAAGATGATGGGATCTCAGGTATTTCGGCGCCAGGAAACCAGTTGTAAAATATCAATTGCCACAGGCACTGCTAATAAATTGACTCCAAGACTCCCTCCTCCCAACTGAATAGCAGTATCACTATTGGCGATCTGACAGCCGTGTCATCAGCTAGTAGTAAATAAGAATCTGGAAATATTTAGGAGTAGAGATGATCTTCAACCAGCTTCCATTTGAAGTAAAGGTTGCTGCTGCTGCTGGAGCTATCTTTTTCTCCATGTTAATATCACAAATATATCTGACTGAAAATATTGAGGTGACAAGATTGAGATGGCTACTGAAGTTGCAGATGGTGTTCTTTATTAATGTCTTAATGGTCATAGGAGCCCGTCACAAATGAAGAAGTATAGTGATTGTGTTCTACAACTCATTCTTCATTTTATGAAAAACACTATTGTTCATGTCGTCATTTTGCCATACTCAAGTTTTTTCACACCATCATTTCTTATTGCAAAAGAGCCTTATTTTTTTTCCTTTAACAGCATTTATTTATCTTGGAAGCTACATCATTCTTATTTTCTTTCTCTTCATTGTTGGTTCTTTTAAATAGCTTTTTAAGCTCATGAGTCAAAGAAATGCAGAATTAGGTAGTATCAGTAAAATTGGTAAATTGGGAAGGAATCTAGCAGCTACTGTAGCTGTAGGATTGACTGTTATTGGACTCATCAATGCTCCCCAACCTTGTGCAGTAAAATCAATAGCAATTACTATTCATAAATTACCTTTGTCCATGAATAATCTTAAAAGAATTTTGCTTTCTGATATTCCTTTGGGGCCAACCAGTGGAAAAACTAATCTCCAGATGATTGTAAAAATAGTTAAAACTTTAAAACCAAGTTTCACTGTGATTGTTGGTGATCAGACAGATTCTGAGGTGAAAGGCCTTGTCCATGATATGGAACTGCTTGGCCATCTTGATTCCCCATTGGAGGCTTATTTTGTCACAGGGAATCATGAATACTATATCTCTGGTTTGAATGTCTAAAGTCACTCAATATTCACAATGAGCATGTGAAGATCACGTCCTACAAAGACAGCAATATTAACTGGTTTTGTCTGGCTGGAGTTGATGATATTGAAACAAATGTGTTACATAACATCGACCATGGAGTGAATTTGAAAAAGTATTAGAAGGCTGTAGTACCGACCATGCCTATCAGCTGCTTGCTGCAAAACAGGCTCTTCAAGATTAGTCATATAAGTTTGGTTTTGTCTGGGCACAAACACGGAGGAAAAATATTTCCTCTGCATATTGATGTTTATTATTTATCTGTTTTTTGTTCGTTTATATAAAGTTGGACAAAACATGCTGGTATATGCTGCAGGTGTCAAACTCAATTTCATTGAGGGCTGAATCAGGGTTGTGATTGACTTTGGGGTGGGCGGGATGGGTGTGGCCAGGGTAGGCATGGCCAGCTCCCACTGCTGTTGTGCTTGCTCTCCTTGGCCAGATTGCTCATGGTGTGTGTGTGGGAGGGCAAAGTGTGTGGGTCAGAGGAAGGCCCACTCCCTCTCCTTCCGAGAGCTGGCTTTGTAACCAAAGCATCCTCAATGCTAGGAAAGGTCAGGAAGAGGGGACCAGGGGATGGCAAAAGGGCAGCAGGGCTGCTGGTGGCCAAGTGCTAAGGGAGACTTCCCTCAGATTCTCACTCTCTCAATATAATCTTCCTTCCTTCCTTCCTTCCTTCCTTCCTTCCTTCCTTCCTTCCTT